GGTGAGACGGTGGGGCTCGAGATGTGGATGGGGATGGGGATAGGGATCAGTCAAACGATACTGAGCACCGACCTCGCTGATCCCAGACTCCCGACGTCCTGTTCGTTTCACAACGTCGACCCCCAGAAGTCTGGACCCCTTCCCCGGGATTGGCTTTGTATCCCGAGTCGGCTTTTGACGCTCCCGAGGCCCAGGAAGCAACCCTGGGGGCCAGAGAATAGTGGAAAGCCTCCCGTCGTGATTTTGTCCACCATGCGCGAGGGGGATGCATCGCCGATGCATCGGCGATGCGGCGGGATCCTCCGACCCCCCACGCAGGCCTCGTTCGCCTGCAGCCCGCACACGAATGAAGAGGGGGGGGTGGACGCGAGGGGTGCCGCCGTCGAAGATTGGCGGCGAGCCCTGGCGGGGGGAAATGAGAAGGGGCGGGCCTCAAAATCAGAAGGCTCTCGGAAGTCCACCGGCCTTCCGATCAGTCGCCAAAAAGCCTGTTTCAGGCCGGAGACCTTCGGTCGGAGAAGCCCTGCCGCCTTCTGAGAAGGTCTCCTCCTCCTCACTTCCCCCCCCTCGCTCGCCGCCGACCCAGACGTGCGACGTCTTGGAGAAGCCCTGCCGCCTTCTGAGAAGGTCTCCTCCTCCTCCTCACTTCCCCCCCTCGCTCGCCGCCGACCCAAACGTGCGACGTCCTGACTTTTTTCAGGGCGGCGTCCCCGGAAGTCCCGACCCTGTCCCCAGGACAAAAAACACACAACACTGTGGACAAAAAAACACACACTGTGGAAAAACACACACACACACACTGTGTGTGTTGAGTGTTTTGTGTTTTTTCCACGTGTTTTTTGTTTCCACAGACTGTGTTTTTTTTGCACTTCGTACCGAGTCGTGGTTTGACGGGGGGCCGACGATTAATTGTGTCTGTGTTTTTTTCCTCGTGATTCGTGCCGAGTCGTGGTTTGACGGCCCTGGGGCCAGGCGAGGGGCCCCCCCGGGGGCGAGAGCACCGAGAAACGGCCGTCCTGGATCTTCTTTTGCGACGCGAGCAAGTCTCCTCCTCCTCCTCCTCCTCCAAAGGCGGAGGGGCCTCGGCATGCGGGGCCATGCTGCGAAAACCCGAGAAGGCCCCCGCCTTGTGAGAAGGCCACCCTCCTCGCGTTGCCTCCTCGAGCAGCGGTGGAACGATCCATAGACCCCCCTGGCGTGGCACTGGCGTTGCCTGGGCCCCACTGGCCGATTCAGCCCCCTAGATGGGGAACTGCGCTGTTCCCTTCGGGTGTCGAAGGGCAAATCCCCAACTGAACAACGATCAACAAGGAGTTTCACGCGAGATGGCACGGCGACCTTACGCGGTGGATTACGCGGGCCGCTTACGCGCCAATGTCGGCGCAGACGACCCCTTTTTTTGAGTCGCTCAACTGGGGTGGCAGGATAGTGGGGCTCAGGATGGGGATGGAAGTTGGGATAGAGGTCGGTTAAAGGATGCTGACTACCTGTACCTCCATGTGCGCGCTGCCACATTTGACCGCCTTGGCCATGCTCAATACGAACACCGATGCCGCAAGTCAGGGACATGCACCACACCAGACATGGCTGAACGCATCCTGGCCCCCAAATATTGGTACATGTGCTTTCCCGGCCAAACACGGAAACCGATTTCGCCGATTCACAACGCAGGATGGGCATGGCCAAGATGGGCGTGGCGTGTATCCGCTGCCCCCTGTTGGCTTGCCACAGGGGGCCTGGCGTGCTAGACCCTTTCGGTTTTGGTTTTGGTTCTTTTTCCAGAAGAACTCCCCCTGGGGCTTCGGCCCGTCCCGCCGGCCATCCGAAAGGGATCTCAATCCCCAAGAAAATCCTCCAAGACGGCTCAAGATGGCCTCGTTGGCCCAAGATGGCCTCCAAAATAGTCCAAGATGGCCTCCAAGTCCGCCCAAGATGGTCGAACACGGCCTCCAAGACGGCCCAAGAGAGTCCAAGATACCTCCAAGTTCGCCCAAGAAGCCTCCAAGACGGCCCAACACGACCCAAGAGGCCTCCAAGAGCTCCTCCAGGAAGACCCGAAGAGGCCAAAGTCATTGATTGCCCATAGTTTTTTGAAGGATTCTGGCATTTGTTTATTCTCGGCATTCCGACGGCTCAAGACAGCCCAAAGGAGGCCCCAAAGATCGCCCACGAGCCCTCCAAGATGGCCGCATGACAGCCCCAGAGCCCCCCAAGATGGCCCCAAGAGGGCCCCAAGAGGCCTCCAGGACGGCCACGATCGCCTCCAAGACGGCTAAGATGACCCCAAGATGCCTCCAAGACGGCCCAAGATGCATCCAAGACGGCCTAAGATGGCCTCAATACTGCCCAAGAGGCCCCCAAGAGCCTCCAAGACGGCCCAAGAGGCCTCCAAGAGGTCCTCCAGGAGGGCCGAAGAGACCACAATCATTGATGTGCCTTAGGGTTTTGAAAGATTTGGGCATGTGTTTCTTCTCGGCATTCCAACGGCTGACAACGGCCC